GGGCGGGCGGGCGGGCGGGCGGGCGGGCGGGCGGGCGGGCGGGCGCGCCCTGCCTGCCTGCCTGCCTGCCTGCCTGCCTGCCTGCCTGCCTGCCTGCCTGCCTGCCTGCCTGCCTGCCTGCCTGCCTGCCTGCCTGCCTGCCTGCCTGCCTGCCTGCCTGCCTGCCTGCCTGCCTGCCTGCCTGCCTGCCTGCCTGCCTGCCTGCCTGCCTGCCTGCCTGCCTGCCTGCCGTGCCGTGCCGTGCCTGCCTGCCTGCCTGCCTGCCTGCCTGCCTGCCTGCCTGCCTGCCTGCCTGCCTGCCTGCCTGCCTGCGTGCGTGCGTGCGTGCGTGCGTGCGTGCGTGCGTGCGTGCGTGTCGTGTCGTGTCGTGTCGTGTCGTGTCGTGCGTGCGTGTCGTGCGTTCCTGCGAGGGTTCCTGCGAGGGGGTTTGTGTTTGTGTGTGCGTGTGCGTGTGCGGGTGCGTGTGCTTGCGTGCTTGCCTGCTTGCTTGCTCGTTTGTTTTGTTTGCTTGCTCGTTGTTTGCTTGCTCGCTCGCTTGCTGGCTTTCTTGGTTGTTTGTTGGCGGTTTTTGGAGTTTGCGTCTCAAAGGAAAGCCATCCATGCACCACAATTGAAAAGAAAACGAGGGAAGATGTAGGCCCTAGCTAGGGCGAAAGCTCCTCATCATAACCATGGATATTGCTTTGGATATCCGTGTTTGCCATTGTTTCTCGTTGGGGGGGGGGGTTGCCATGGTTGCCCATTCAACACTGCTGGTCCACTCCACTAGACTGACGGTAGCGCTTGTAGGGGAAGTACTGACTAGTACTGATTCATGACGGCGCTGGTGTTGGGCAGGTTCTGGCCAGAGGAGACGCTGCTACGCGTTGAAGCAAGCAGGACCCGAACTCCGCTTCTGCCCTTCGAGTCCATGGTGTAGCAATGCCTGAATCGGGAAGTCGGGCGCAGACTCGTTCACCGAAAACACGATGCCTTCGGCCTTAGGCTCGGAAGGAACTGAAAGTCCTTTGGGAAAACGTGTCAAAGGCCACGATGGGGAGGAACACTCAATGGCGTACCCAGGGCTCAGGATGTCCACCACGGTCCTGAGGCCACCCTCGCTCAGGAAGCAGCCTGAACTGCCCAGGTGGCCTTGGTGGAGCGAGAGGTCTGGACTGCAAAGAGCGGAGCCGAAGCGAAGTCTGCAAGAGAGGCCCACCAGTCGCGCAAGGTCAGAGACGCGAATCACAGCATTCAAGAGCAGCCTGGAGCGTTGCCGCTCCTCAACCAGTGCGGTAGCTCAGGTTGGAAGTGTTGCAAGCAAGCCTCAAAGAGTTCCAAGGCGGATTCAGATGAGGTCGGGCCCCGTGATGTGGTAGCCGTGTGGGGCTCAGGCAACGCCGCCGCGGATGCACCTATTTGTTCTCCGGCGAGCCACAGCTCACGACGTGTCACGGGAAAGGGCTCCGCGGCACGTGCATGTCGTGATGCCACTCATGCATGGTGGTGAATGGGCAATCCGTGTCCTTGCAGTCCCCTATTCCAGGAGCTCTGCTTTTGCTAAGGGAGGCGCACCTTGCGGCTGATCCACCTCAGAATTTGGCCCCAAATACCCTGTTGAAATATCACCTCTGATGTTCTGCAAATCAATCTCCAACCAAACTGACCGAACAACTACACGGTGCCAATTGGTGCAACCCTGCTTTGACTTTCCTGGGGGTTGCGCATTTTTGCCCACCTTTGACGCCCCGAGCCGCTGTCCTGGAAAGCATTTCAATTTGATTGAAAGCTCTGTACACGCACAATCTCTGCCCTGAGTTCTTTGAAACGATCTTCACACACCATCTGAACCCCAGTGCTTTTGGATGCCCGTCGCAGCTCAGCCTCAAACCGATCTAGGGCAAACGCATAAAGCCTTATATCTTCTTGCACGAACTCCGAGAGTTGCTCATGCAAATGTCTTGGTAGTTCATCAACCCCATGCTCCGGAAGACCATGATCGTCATGGCTCATTTCCTTCAAGGGCCCCGGCCCACCACAAGAACATGTATGGGGCACGTCGTTGTGCATCAAAAAATGCAGCAGGCACAAAGTCTCCGTGTACATGTCGCTAATGCCCAAGAAGTGGACCCGCTCTGTCAAGATACGCTTCGCCCTCTCTGCACTTGGTTCATACGAGTTCAACGTCACGTGGCAGTGCCACTCGTGCGTGCCAATTTCTTGGTCGGTTTGCTGAGCGAAATACCTCGTCTGCATGTTCCATGGGTTGTAGCAGTTGAAGGCCTCTTTGCGCAAACCCTCAAAATCAGTGGGATGAGGTTTTCCTCGAAGTTTCTCGAAGTATGCAACCCACCTGTCGAACCTTGGCTGGGCTCAAGTTGAACTGCAATGTGGCAAGGAGTTGTTCGCAAAACCCAAGCTCTACCTTTTGGACCCTGAAAAAAAGACAACGCAACCGCTCCAAGTCAAATGAGCAACCCTTCGTATACGTCGCCTTCTGCGAAGCTTTTGCAAAACCCCGCAGCTGGAAGAACAAATTCTTTACAATGCAGGAACTGCGACAGGATGTGCGGCACAGGGCTTCGAAACAAGACTGCGTAAGTTGCATTGGGCAATAAAGTCTCAGTCACGTCAAAACAGGCCTCCCCGTTGTGAAAGAACTCCATTGCAGGCTGAACCAGACTGCCTCCATCGACTTGGAATGAAGTTCCAGCAGTTTTGGCAATGTGGACAAATACAAACTTTGGGACCAAAGATCTTCGTTGCAACAGCACTGCGTCATCATTGTAGCCCACATCATCCGAAAAAGCCAGTGATGCAATGATTGGTGCCAAGGTCCTGTGGAAGCATGGCATAGATGGACATTCGGTTCGGAATCGGATCAAGAATCAAGCATCTTGAGCCCAGCGGCAATGAGACTACGTGCATGCCGCCAGCGTGCTGGCCAAAAGGAAAGTTGCCTACAAACGGAGCCCAAGGGTTGCCGGAACAATGCAAGTCTTCTGGCACAACATGTTCAGCCCCCCCGCCCCTCAGAATGCATGCAACATACACAAAGCCACCCCTTGAACAAACTCGTCTTCTTGTCAAGATCCATCGCACATCAATGCACAAGTCCTTTTCTGAAAAGTGGTCTTTCAAAAGGGCCTGCGCGCTTCCATGTCTGCTGGTGGAAGTGTGGATTGTGGAAAAAGACACGTGTCCTGGAAATCCCCATGGGCCAAGCCGTGCCCGAGTCACAATCACTACTCAGAACCAGGTCACGAATCAATTAAGGGCCGGATGGCCGCATCTACTTAGGTCCAAAAGCGCGTTGCTCCAAAATCCCTGGCACAATGGACAAAAAGTAGCTCCTAAGAGAACCACTAAAAACTCTACCCATTGGAGTTGCGGTTGTCCCGGTTCACGTTTGAAAGGTCAAAAGGGCATCCCTCATATATAAAAGATCCTCGGATAACAAAAAAAACACACACGTGCAACTCGTGCAGTAACCCTCACTTCACTTCACCTGGGTTCTTGATATGATCGTTGCCAGGGCCCCCTTTGCGCTTTCCATGCTCCATGCCCGCCATCGGAATGGGGCCACTGGCCAAAGCAACTCCATGAGCCGAAGCCCGCGCGCCAAACGGTGTGCAGCATCTTGCAGCTGTGGTCTTTCAGGGTGCCCACTTTTTACTCTGAAAGGACACCAAAGAGAAACCCGCCTGATCAGAACCCAGGGGGATAGTCGGTCGCCCTGACCGAACACTTACTTGCCAGCTGTTCCCCGCCACGACTCAATCACACCAAGAGCAGTGAAGCTGGCTCCCCCTCCTAACTTCGAAGTTCGGTTTAGTGGGAAACTGGAGCCGTCAGTCCACATCAGTTCCTACTGCCAATCCCCCAGTCAGAAAGCAAGTGTAAGCCGTCACAGGCTCCAAAACCACCCATCCCGATTCTCCCCCAAAATGACACCTAATCATGCCTTACCAACGGCTTTGGAGGGAAGCCGCAATCGAGTGTTGGCCAGGGAAGGTGACAAGGAGGGATTTGCATCTGAGGCCCGTCGTTCTTTCCGAGTCCCGGTCTTCGGGCCGGAATTTTTTCCGGTCTTTGGCCCCCGCAGGCCCGGCCACGCTCAGACCATCATGCCTGCGAGCCATGCCAATGCTCAAATGGGTATGGGTTTGCCGCAAGGGCAATCGGGACCCCCAAATAAATGGCTTGCCCTTGGTTTCCCTGCTTCCCAAGAATGTGTGGCTGGCTGTGGCACGCAGGCAGAACGGTTTGGCCTCCCAACCCCGGCGCAAATCCCTGCTCAACCCAGGCTCTCCAAAGGGCTTGCCTTTGAACACTCTCTTTTGGGGACACCAAGCGGCATGTGAACAGCATAGAACTCTTCTGCAATACATTCAAAGGGGTCGCAGAGGGCAGGCAAACCGTCTAGGCAAATGTCTCAAATTGCCCGAGCCACGGTCAAGATCACTTGTTCCCCTAAGAGTGCACGACAAACTTTGTGAGTCCCCAAACTGCCTGCCAAATGGGTCAGAGACGGGACATGTTGACCCGAACCTCGTGTGAAACAAATCCTGACGCTTGTCCCCTTTTTGTTGGCAACCCGGCCTGGATCTTGTTCGCCCACGTCGAGCGCATGAAGAACAAGAGGAGCAACAAGAAAATGCCCAGCATGACGTAGAGCGGCCTGGCTGAGCTGCTGGGCCTGGACAAATTGAAATGACTTATCATCACGTTTAGCTTCCTACTAGGAAGTTGGGCATTGCTGGCGCTTTTGCACCCGAGTTGAAGGACGTCTTCGTCTCCCCCCCGGAGCCAACAAAAACACAACCGTAATTATTGTTGAATGGAACATCACATAGGTATGTGTCAAACTAGGGGGCTCCAAGCTTTCTGTCCACCTTCGACAAACGCTTGGATTTGGAGTAAGGTTCCACTCGTGGATTCCCAACCCGCACAGTAAGGCGCAAGCGGCATCCGCTTGATGGCACAAGAAGACCATGCTCCAAGTTTCCCTCCCTTGCGAAACAACTGGTGGCCCCAACCCTCTTGCTGGCGCGCAGCAAAAAATGAGAAAATATGAGAACTGGAATGAGCCGTTTTGGGATTCCCGAAACAGGAATGCAGGAAACCAGCGGTTGGATGGTTTATAGCGGTTATTTCATGTCTCGTTCCCTGCATCTCTCGCACCGATACCCCGAGGCCCCAGGCCACATCGGCTCCTCATCCTGGGAGTTCGACGTCGGCCTTGGACACCAGCTCCATTTGCAGCCAGCTTTTTTCCATGGGTGGTTCGTCTTTTTTTTTGAGTTGGTGCGCCCTTCTTTTGGGGAAACTAAGACGGAAACACACACTCCTCTTTTTTTTGAAGAGGGGGGGTCCCTTCAGTCCCCAACCTAGAATATAAACCATCAATTTTGGGGTTACATAATCTGAGCGTCCAGTAGAAAGCACCCCCCCACAAAGCCGCTGCTGATCTTTTTTCCTTTCTTCAAGGGCCCACCTTGTGGACTCAACGCCTGCTTGCCTTTTGCAAAGCTGCACACTTTGTCCAAGGCGAAGCGAACGAAACCCTGCGGTCTGGGGGCAAATCGATCGACATGTGCAGCAAAGCCAGCCGTGCCAACAGTGCCATTCAGGGTTTCAATCAGTTGCCCGTTGGCTGCAGGGAAAGTATTGTGGGGGACTCTTCTCAGGTTGCTCAATTTCAATCGGGACAAGAAACAGAGAAAATGGTGTCAAGGGGTGCATGGTCCCGATCCCTGCGTTGCAAGCATCCTGCCGCAAGCATCCTGCTTCAACTCTGAGCTCGCAACTTCCCCGAAGCCTCCAGCGGGCGGAAGCTTGGTGTGCAGGATCCGCGCGCACTCGCTTTGGGGCCCACATGCATATCCTCCCACAAAGATGGTACGTGCACAAGCCGAAACTTTCGGCAAGACTGACCTCTACGTTTGTTCCGTGGACGAAGGCCTAGCAGCCAGCGCAGCCTGGGTGATCGAACTGAGGTTCCCACTGCGGAACCTCGGCCAAGGAGAGCTGTGCAATGCGCCCCAAAGAGGGGCTCAAGATTCTCTGGACATTAAACACGGTCTTGGACCCCGGACCACGCAGCAAGCAACGTGTAGAAACGTTTCAATCGATGTGCCCTTCCATCCCCCAACATGGAACCTTGACGTTTCGGGGTGCTGGAATTCTTGCAAAAGAGGAAGCAATCGAACCTCTGGGTTCCATGTCAACGCGGACAGGATGGTGCCTTTTCTCCCTGACACGAATTCCATCCAGGAATCTCAGGCAGGTATGACCCAAAACCACCGAACCGGGCCCCCCTCTTCTCACACTGGACAAACGGTCCATTGGCCCCTGACGCACGGGACGCGACGCCCGCGTGGCGCGTGGCCGGGCTCCCCCGCTGGCCGATCCGCCCGCTCCGCCCGGCGCTGCCCTCCGGCGGGCCGCGCCGGACGCGGGAGGTCCCTCCTGAGGCGAAGACCGGCGCGGGGCGCGCGGGGCGGGGGCCGCGGCCATTTCGGGAGCTCAGCCCTCTGGTTTTTGGGTTGTTTAGAGGCAGAACACAGGGAACACCGCAGCAAACAGGGGGACGCCACAAAGACACACCCATGCAAACATCGGGCATGGCCCGAAAAAGCAGACATTGGGTAGTTGGCTCGGGATCAGCTGGCTCTTGTTTGATGCTTTACCTGGCCATGGCCATTCAACCGGGCTTGAGTAGTCAACTGGGTTTCCATTGCCAAGGTCTTGTCTGAAAGTGCCTGGGCCTGGGGATCACAGAAAATGCTACTCTCCATTTCTTACTTCTTGAGTGGAATGTTGATTAGTTAAATAAAGTCCTTGGGCTTCTTGCCCAACAGCTTTAACGTCCACCAATTGTGGGAAAATGTGTTTTTTTCTCCGTGGCAGAATGCCCAGCAAGCAAGCAAGCACAGCTTTCTATGGCTTTTGTTTTCTTTCTCCGGGGAAGGTCAGCGAGTTGAGAGCGCGATCCCGCCCAGTTCCTCTGTCGCGTCAGGGGCCGCAGGTGCAGGGATGTCGTCTTCTGGGCGCAACGTGTCATGAAGGTCAAGCACGACAAGGTAACCAGCCGAAGGAGGAACCCAAAAAGGTCACAAAGGGGTGGATATTAGCGAGCGTCAGCGACTGTTTAAGGGGCGCCCTTGCTTAGAGAACATCATGGCTACAGCAAAGGTTAGCAACCACGCCTGCCTGCAAATTGACATGGACACCACTCAGTACAAACATTGTGCGTTTGAGCAATCTCCTTTTGGGGTCCCCTGTTGGCCGCTCACTGCACGTGAGTAACCCCAAACCCGCCCATCACCGGGTGTGGCCCGAATACATCGCATGTTCTGAAAAACCAAAATCCCTGAGGGAAGTCCCCGCGCGCGCAGAAGCGCAGGCGCCTTCCTCATTGAAGCGCGCCTTCCCACGCTCCACCACCTGAGGAAAAGGCCGTGCGCTGCTGGGTTGTGACCCGAATCGGACATTTGTCCTGAGGCTTTTCGAGCTGCTTTAAGCCTCACAATCCATACCTGGGTGGGAAATGGTCGCCGTCTGAAGGCCGACAACCTTTCTGGACCCATGGTTGCGACTAAAGAGTTGGCACTTTCCGCGGCTGACTCCTATGTCTATGGCTTTGTCACTTTCGAGGGATTACCTTGGCCACTCGCGCCTGGCAAATCAAAACCAATGGAGTTGCCACCACCACAGGGTGTGGCAACTGCTCCCGCCATCCCCAATCTGCATTACCGTAGGGTTTGCACCTCAAACATCACATCTCCACTTGGGGTTGAAACTAACCACCACCAACTCAGTACGACATTTAGGGAAGACCTTTGTGGGCTCCCAAAACAGCCACCTGACAGTTCCAATTTTGGCTCTGCTCAGGGGCTTCATCCTTAGCCATGTGTTAAGCCCACACCCCATTCCGCCCCAAGTCGCCAGTCTGAGAGTCGCACGTCAGGTTCCCGGCACACCTGCTCACTGGCGTGTGCTTGCTTTTCTAAACCATCCCCACAAACTTGCTGGTGCTCAGGGAATGTGGGAATGACCCCTGACCATCCAACTGCTGGTGGTTTCGTTTGTAAGGGAATCCCAAAACTTGCAGTGTTCAAACGGGCCTGCCCGGGCTCCACACTAAAGCTGCCCGGTTTGCGATTGTTAGCTAGCTTGTTCAGCAGGTAGGGGACATCTTAGCCGGAGCAGAGGCTGGAGTCAGAGAGCCGCAAAAGTTCGTTATAACGTGGGATGAGCGAAGCGGTACAAACCTAGATATTATTGGTTTCTTGGCACACATGGTTGTTCAAAGAACTGGCAATCCGTTAAACATAAACAAAGGAGCTGGCAAATTGTTGCGCAGCAGTGGGCAGTTCGTTACCGTGGCCGGAAGCTTGCTAAAGCAGCTACCCGTCTCTTAAAACGGTTCATCCCATTTCTCATTCCCCTGCAGCAAGTCATGGGCGCCCCCTTCTACTTTCCTTTGGGGTTCCGCACGCCAAACCCATGCGCAAAAAAGTGCCCACGTGGCCTCCTTGACCAAACCTCCCAGGAGCTGTGGCCAAGGGCTCTGATAACCAACTTGGGGCAGTGACCTCATGGCACCCCTTCCTTGCTCTGCCCAAGCCGCTGAGCAGGTCCAACGTTTCCAAAAGGTCTAAGGGGTCAGTTCCGCCACATGTCATTCGTTCAATTTGACTGCAAATTGTAAAGCAAAAAAGGCATGAAACCACTAAAAGGGTAGAAGCTTGAAGAGGTCTTTTAATTGGCAAATGGAAAGCACGGGTCACTTAACATGTCCCAGTCTTTTGGAGGGGTCGCCGCCGCAATCAAATCCACGACGATCGGGCACGCGTCCCTTTCGGTCCGTGGCCTCGATCCAACAGAAGGGTTCTTCCCCCACAATGGCTGGCACCTGGGCGCAGGATGAGGAACCCCTGCTTCGTTTTGGGTGACCTTTTGCATGGGTTCTGAGTGAAATCAACCAAAGGGGGTTCATTCTGAGAAACACTCAGCCGCTTGTGGGTCCTCTTGGCATCCTCCCCAAATCCAACCATATCTCTGCTGCTTCGATCCGTTACTCGGTGATGTGAGGGTGAAGGGTGCGGAAGGGCTGACGCTCGAAGTGAATTGCGCCCAGGCGTCCAGCACCCATGACTTGCTGGTGCGCCAGGTAGGGATGTGGGAATGAACCGAAAGGCCCCCTTAAAGGACACCACGAGGGATGGTTTGTTTGGGGTCATTCCCCCATTCCCTACTGAGCACCAGCAAGACGATGGTTGGTATGTTCCTTGAAAGCGCAGCTCGTCGTGGTCGCAGTTTCGCCCTGTTGAAAACTACACATGTACTTGGTTGCTGTTGACCCCTCTGCAAAAAATATTTTTGTGGGTTTAGTGGCAAACCCCTTATTCCCCAAAAAGTTAAAGTCTAAAGATCCAACCCAACAGCAGGCAAGTGTATATCTCTCCACAAAACAAACTACACTTTGTAATGAATCGGTGCCATGACAGCATGCGTCCCATCTTTGCCCTAGAAGCTGATTTGCTCTCTCGCGGCAAGTCTTCCAACACAAGCACTCCTGCCATCTTCGAATCCACCGGCTTGGCCACATGCCTGGCCTCATAATTTTACCATGATCAAAGTCACCCCCTAAGTGGCGGGTTAAGGGAAACAACCAAATTTTCTGAAATTGACAACCCCCCGAAACCGTCAAAATAATGACCCCAGCATGCTGGCTTGCAAACCACTACCCGAAAGTGAGAACAAGAGCCCCCTCTCTCCGGCTTTCGGTGGAAATGGTTGAGAGGATGAATCCTAACTACTTGATCAACAAAGTAACACCCAAAAAAGAAACAACACCACCATGAACCCTACCTCGACCTTTGGCCACCAACCGAAAACATGAATTTTGATTCTGCTCCTTACGTATATGATATCATCACCTCCCTTCTTGCTGGGGTAAAAAAGCAAACAAACAAACAAACAAACAAACAAACAAACAAACAAACAAACAAACAAACAAACAAACAAACAAACAAACAAACAAACAAACAAACAAACAAAACATGTGCCTTCAAGTATTTTCCCTTGGTGCCACGAACCCCAAAAAACGGGCACCCTCCAAAGAAGGCCAAAACACACTGCCACCATCATCCACATTTATCCGCTCAGCCCAATGTTGGGCCCGGCGCCGAGCCGTTGAGCTGCTGCTCCGGGATCTCCCCGCCTCGGAGGGCCGCGGTTCATGGGCCAGGGGAAAAACCAAAAGGTGCCGGTCGATTCGCCTTGGCCTCCAGTAGAGGGGTTGGAATAAGTTGGTGCCCGATTTTTTTCTGTAGTCTGTTTTCGTAGGGGAACCCCCCCCAAAAAAAGAGAAAGAAAGTAGCAGGGCACTACTGGGGGACCCAGTTTCGCGTTGGACAACTGAACTCCTGTTGTAAAAAACACATGAAATAAAACAACTCAGACAGGAAGACCATCATTTTGGGGGGTTCCCCAAAATGAAGATGCACCCTCACGCCCGAATTACAAACCTCCTGGTGAATCTGCCACTGACTCCCTGTGGATCGACAAAATCCGCGAATCAGGCATGTGGCGGGATGGGTGGTTTATCAACAGCTTCATCCGCTGGCGCAGAAGTTTGTCCATCCACAATGTTTACGTGGATCCTGGTAAAGAACCTGGAAACGCTTTGGGCAACTGAATGTCAAAAGCTTCAATCGAGGGGATGAATTCCAAAGGGGGACGTCCCCAAACAACCCTACTAGAAAAGGATGCCATCTATATGCAGTGGAGAATCTACCAAATTAAGGCTTAAAGTCCTTTTGTTGAAAACCACCACATGGAATGCGAGCCAACAAGGTACATATTTCTTGCCCTTCCTTGGCTTGTTTTTCCATGGCGGCGTTCCCGCCATAGGAAGGGAAAGGACATCGATTGGGCTTGCACGGAAGCCCAGAAGCACTCACAAAGGAGCTTACGTTTGCATTTGCACCAGGGGGGAACGCCAACTTGCTATGCCCCGGGGAGCAAATGAGTTCCATAAGCTGAACCTGGAAAACACGGGCCGCTGGGTGCCTCAAGATAAGCTTGCTGCCCAAAACATGAACAACCCCTATGCCTCAAAGCAACAACTCAAACGCCCTGCCCAAATTTGAACTTAAATAGGCGCACCTGTTAGGGTGACTCAAAAAGAAGCCAGCGAATCCATCTTCCTTCCACCGCAAAAATCGCACTGGGGAGGTTTGCTTGATGCAAAGTGGGGGCAGGTGCAAAGCACGATCACCACACCCCTCAGGCCCCAGCACCAGGCCAAACGGCTCCTCACTGCAGGTGGTTGGTTTACAAAAAAAAACTACCTGCTGGTGGAAGCACTTTCTGCATCTACACAGGGGCGCTTATTTTTGAAAACGTAGCCGCGCCAACGACTGCCAAAACCGAAAAATTGACAAGGCTCATCAAGCCAACAGACCGCGCCTTTGGTAAAAAAATCATGCCCCGTCCTGTGATCTTTGGGAACCGCCTCCAGTGCGAAGTCGGGCATGAGCCGCGTCTTCGCGATCTGAAAGATGCGGCTGCTTTACCCACCCGTCGAGGTCGAGTCGGCGAGCCGGAGCCGGAGAAACACGAAGTTGCCGGGTCCTGAAAAAGAAATCATCCTCAGAATGACTCGAAAGCTGGTTTAAAGGGAAAACACCTTCAAGGTACTGAAAAGAAGAACCCCTCAAGATGTTGACTCCGAGGGGCACGGCCATAGCAAGAACTTGGAGAAAAGAAGGAGGTGACTAGGGGCCTTTAAGGGCCACTAGCCATCAAGGGTCATGTTCTTGCAATGTCTCTGAATCCATGGGTTTGCGCCCCTGTGGTTCAGCGAAGGGGCTTGGCCTAAGAAACCGGCAAGCCCAATTCTACAAGTCTCCTAAACGATTCCCACTGCCCCCCCAAACTAGTACCCAAAACGGACAATCACAAGATGCGCACCGTCAAGAGCTGCTAAAGAGTGATTGCAGACCCTTGTTGGCACCTTGGCAGTGGGAGTGGAAAACCTGCTGGATAGCCAAGTGGGTATGTGGCTACCTTGTAGAAACAATCCTTGAGGTTCACGCCGTCAATCCCAAAAACAGCCACAACGCACATTGTAGGAAGGATGTATGAACATAATGTGCGGGTGGGCACATCCTCAGAAGAACGTAGTCATGCTTCCCGAACATAATCAAAGTTGCGCTAGGCGCTATGCTTTCTTATTGCATTGCATTCTAGGCCCGGGTGCTAACTAGACATCTGGCAAAGATTGTTACCCATCCCCTTTTGCCTTTTGGTTTCCCTTTGGGAAACTTGAGAAAAACACGGGCAATGTTTCGCCCGGTTGTATTCCAAACGGCGCCTGGGTCCAGAGAGTGGCATCCTAAATGCCCTCGGACTAGTGGTTGGTCTCCTTTTGGTTTTCCTTTACCACACCAACATAGATTTCAAATGTTGAGAAACACCCAAAGAACATCTTGTGAACCCCTTGCATTCACCCCCGTCCCTGCAAGTCACACTTGGAGCTATCCCCAAGCGTCGGCACGCCCCAAACACACGAGCAGCTTCTGAGCAACCAAAGAAACCACCCGCTTTCTGCCAAACGACTACGAACAACTCCCCTAACAATTGCCCAAAAGGCTGAATAGTGGAAACCCTGCCAGATAACCAAAGACCTGGTAGGTGGTGCATGCGGGAAGCAAGTACGTCATCATGTTCAGGAGAAATAAGCCATGATCTCCGCCGTCAATCCAAATATACTGCAGATGTACAGGGCAAAATCGGATTGATCCGGGGGTGTTGCCCCCAACAAATCTGCCAGATCCCTCAAAAACCGCAAGAGCATGCCAGGTGGAAATTCGTTTGTTGGGCTATACTCAACCCGCGTTGAATTCACCCCGCGAATCACTTCCAAAGCTTCCCGCCTGCCAGGCATAGCGGAAGAGATACTCCATGGCAATGCCTGCCAAACCAGCCCGGCTCGCTCCGATCTTGGCTACAGGAGCTCACTTGCCCGATGGATCTGAAAGTACCAAAAAAAACCTTTTTGGGATCTCTGCTAAAACTGATCTACATGCAAAGGGCTACGCGAAATTGGCCAGAATCACACACATGCTTTTCTGGTTGGGGTAGATTTGGGGGGCAGGACAGGCGAAAGGGGGCCACGCCAGATCCAGTCGAAACGTTAACCCTCGACTCGACTGGATCCCCAAAGCAACAAAGCAACGCCTTCAGGGCTATCCCTCTGATGTCAGGAAGGGCAAACAGTTGTCTCGAATCAGGGCCCAAATGGCAAAACGGTGTCCCTTCAGTTTCCCCTCAACACAAACACGCCCCCAATGTGATTGGCTCCCTTGAAATTTCCGGCGGCACTCGCGCCTGGACAGCAGACACCGTAGGGCGGGTTGCTTTGGGATTTTTTGAGGGCCTCTCAAGAAACCGGAGTTGACTCACCTGGTAATGAACAGTTCCTGAAATTTGTTGCGAGACGCGGCTTGGGACAGCGCATAGCTAGCTGAATTTTGGGTGACGACGCCAAATTCGCAAGGAAAGCACAAAGAGATGCTGATGCGAAGGCGTGTGTCGAATTGTTCGAGGTACCCTTTCCAGGGTTTAAAGGGAATGCACCGCTGGCTCTTCCCCCATGCTTCCCCCTCCCCCTCTGTGCCACTCATGCCGCACCTTTCTCCGTGGTCTGCCACCGGCCCTCGAAGATGACCCAGTAAGGTGAGGCCTAAACTTGGGCCCGAAGTGAACACTGGGAGGTGTTTTCGCAACTGCATGTGTAGGCTGTTGGGGTGTCCCTCCAATCCCCTTGGGAATCCTGCTGACATGCACATTGCGTCAAGGATATATTCATGTAAGATATAGTCAACCACAGCTCAGTTATTTCTTGCATTTGTATTTCCTTCCTTGAAGAGAGCTCAATGGCCCGACGGTCTGACGTCGGCAAAAGTTCGCTTGGCCCATGTTATTTGGGCGAGCAGTTCTGGTCGAGTATCTGTGCTACTGTTAGTCCCAACATTGGTAGTATCTCGCTTCCTGAGTGGATGGGCCAAAAAAGTCAACCGAACCTTTTTGAGTGCCACTGACATGCCTTTCTCGGAAGTATTGTGGTTGGCGCTTCAAGGCAGGCCTAAAGGAAAACACAATTTTTGTGGGATCCAAATCCCTATTCTGTGCTGGTTTTTACCTCGCCGGTGTTCCATCGTCTTGGGGTAGCGGAGCAAACCCAGCTATGGCGTGCTAAGCTAAATGGTTGAATGATTTGACTGTCATTTGCCGGTGCGGCAAGATGTTGAGTGTGAGTGTTTGTCTCTTTGGTTGGACGTTGTTTTACCCCAGGTGAGTTTGCCATACCCGGTGCAACTGACCAATCCGTGCTGCTAACCTCGCAGGCGACTCTGCTGAACCTGACCTGTGCTGCTAAGCCATCGACGCCAGAGCCCGGCAGCGTCTGCTTCATGTAGAAGTGCCCGCAGTCCTCGGACTCAAGCCCCGCTTGTTGGGTTCGATGGAAGTTGTCTCAAAATGGGCGCATTCGTAGGGATCCCTGAATGGTGGGTTTCCTTTTGGCTCTCCATTAAAACCACCAAAAAGGGTGCATCCTCAAAAAGACAGACCCAAATAGGGAGAACCTGCCGCACCCTTCTGCTTGGCTCGTAAGGTTGCGCTTTGAACGCGACAGGGGCCTCCTGCTTCGCTACGCTTCGCCACTCTTCGCTACTTGCAACGTGGGAATTGCGCTTCGTTTTCACGGGGTTGCCCCAAAAACACATATTGCACTCGGAGTAGTAAATCCGGGGGATTGACAGGGTGTTCGGCGCAGACGTAGAGGATCTGAACTAGAAGGGCACTGCCCCATTTAGTCACGCAGGCGTGTATGATTCCAGAAGTCCCAGCAGGGCCATCCTTGTTGGTTCCTTGTTTGTGGGGCTGGGCTCCAAAAGATGGTGATGTTCACAAGCACGTGGCTTCACACTTGTGCTTCTTCCGGAGACGCCTTATATCCTGTGGGAAAAAACTCTCCGCATTTTGGCATGAGCCACCAGTGGGCGCCAGTGGGTCACTTTGGGCAGGGACACGGCCTCACGACAGCTGAGGCTGAGGCGTAGAGCTTGATCGAGAACTCCACGGTGCGCGTGCCTCGATTTCGAAAAAATGCGGCCAGTTGCCCGCCTGGATCGGTAGAAGACAAAAACTGGAACCCTTTCTAGGGTTCACCTCGAGCAAGCCATCTTTTTTGGGGGTTGACAGCAATTTTTAGTGGTTCGTTCTTCAAAGTTAAGCCTGTAAGTAGTCTAGAGTTAGTTTGCCACTACTCACTTCCTGAGTGGATGTGTCCAACCCCCAAAAAAATAACGACTCCGAACCGGAACTCGGGAAGTGAGTTGGGAAACTCGAATCCGCAAAACGGGGCTCTGGCTGACCTCACACTCCCCGAAGAACTTCCCGCAGAGCTGGCCCTTCACCAGCACCTCTGAAACTTGCGATCGGTGCGATAGGCAGGGAGGTACCATCTTGCCGCCTGCTGCCACCATACTTGACAGCGAGCCCATTTCTTGACTTACCGTGTGGTGGAAACAAAGTCATGAGCACCAGGTTCGGATCTCCCTGATGGCATGGATCTGGCCCCGTCACAACGAGCTCTGCCGGTTCCGGGCCATTTGTTTGCATATTGGTGGCTGTTGATCCGTTTGTGGCTGCAACCGAAAATCCACTCTTTCCCGAAAAGTGGCCCTCACAAAAGAGGAAACGCGGTAACCCTGAAGCGCATTTTGGCCCTTGGCACAGGTCAGTTCAGCGATCCGCGCCTTGGTCTTCTTCGGTTGGAAGGTTGCGGGCCTCGGTCGTTGGACAGCGGGCGAGTGGAGTGGGGGGGGGGCTTGAAACGGTCAAAGCCCCAAAAAACATGACGTCCAGGAACTCAAAAAGTTCTACCTGTGCTACTAAAGTGATTGGAGTTACCCAATACCTGTTTCCGACCCCACGCCCTTGGATTCTCGGAGTCTTTGCTGGGGCAGGGCGAGCTTCGCCACATCCGGCGCTTCGCTGTTTTGCTCCGAAACGAATTCGCTCGCGGTGCCTCTGGCTCCCACTGGAAGGACTCCTAGCTCCGGGCTTCGCAATGGAGAAAGCAAGTGGTGTGTGTGCGTGCGTCTAAAAACTTTGATATGGAGCCCCCCAGATGGTTGGTGTCCTTTCCCCCCCCCTTAAGCCAACCCACAACGGGTCGACACAAGGTCGCGTGGTTCATGGACCACTCTCGAAATTCCAAGGATTCAACTGGCTTAGGGTTTGTTTGACACATCGCCGCACCCATTGCCAGGACCCTTCAAGGCCTGGAAAATTGACCGCCCGCGCTTTCGCGCCACGTGTCGCGGCGCTCAAGCGGGGCGGCGTTCGGCAAAAGGCACCGCTGAAAGCGCAGACCTTTCTGCGCCATCCGGTGGCTGCGCGCGCAGAGTTGCGATGGCGCGGAAATTTGGCAGCGCCAAATCACCCTGCGGCTGAAAGAGATTAAGCAGGCGTGCTTCAAAGCCTTGGTCCCAAGGCAAAGGGAAACCAAACCGTTTACCAACTTTCTGCCCATTGGAATTTGGCTTGGTAACGGCATGGAGCACCCCTGTCGGAAGCACCGTCTTTCGGTGCCGTGGCCCGCGCCAAACGAGGAAGATGGGGGCAAATCCCTTCGTGTTTTGGTTTTGGGCGGGCTGTGAGACATTGGCGTCAGGCGCATCACAACCCGGTGATGCCGGAAAAGAAGTTGGAGTAGGTCTGAGCGTGCAAACGCGCGTGCTCAAGAAGCTCAAAGCCAGTTGGGTACTTGAACCTTTTTGGCCTTGGCCAATACCACGAAGAAGTACACACAGTAGTGCGCACAACAGTTAGTTGACACTTTGGATTGCGCAAAGAAGGTTTGAAAGTGGGGGGTGTCTGGCCTTGCGGGCAGACTTTGACCCAAACGACTCCACCTGAGGGTCCTGCAGGTTTCCCTGATTGCCACTCTGAGGGGTCGACCCTTTTTTGGGCTCCGCCCATTTTTGGGTGAAACCCACGACCCCCCCCCCAAAAAAAAAAGAAGCACTGGTTGCCCAGTCGGATCCTCGGTTCTTTTTTCCGCCTCGTAGGCGGTGAAGGTGATGGCCTGGCCGATGGAGATCTTCATGAGCCTCGGGGCGATGCCCTTGTAGAAGGCCGTGACCCCTGCGCCGCGAACGAGTTCGACTCGAGCCGCGCGCTGCGAACTCTTCGCCGAGGCAACAAAAAACACGCCAAGAAAATTGGAGCCCACGCGCCAACCACCATGCTTTTGCCAACCCCACGGTGATATTCGTGTTGTAACCGGTCTTTTCAAATGGATGGAATTTGCCCTGGAAAAAAGAGAGAGGGCTTTTTTTCTCTAACCCGCAACATCTGATGTTTGACCTCCATCCTACCTTCTTGGCCCACAGGAACAAGTTGTAGAAGGCCATAACCCCTGCGCCGGTTTGCGCTTCCATGTCTGATCGCCGAGTTCGGTTGCTGGCCGCTGCGGACGGGCCCTAGTTTGCAGCCCGTGTTGTTTGATAAGGGCGTTCTGGAACTTTGCTGAAAACGGGACCGGTGAAAGACCAAGCGCTTGAAATGCACCGCCTGAGGCGCTTGACAATTGTCCCACAGCCTTTGCAGATTAGAGCTGAATGCAAGAATATCACACTGGAGCAATATTTCCGTAGGCCTTTTTACCTCCTGTACTCATATCTACTTCTTGTGCCACATGAACTTGTGCAAAGGCCCCATGCATAGCCAAAAGGTGTTTTCATGGTCTTCCAAGAACGTCTGCATGTCAAACTGCGCGCCTTCTTCCTTAAGAATGGCTCGGAAGGCTTGGATGGTGCCTGCGCCATTCCCAGAAGTCACAACCAGCAACCCGGAGGGGCTTAAGGAATTGGAACCGCTTACCCTCCCACCAACCAACATGGAAGTCTACACAGAGCCCCTTTCCAAGAGGAAAGCTTCAGAAATCTGTGCACTTCCATGTTAGTGGGAGGGTGCCCAGAGGGTAGTTTGGTACCTTTTGAGCAGAGGGTATTTGGACCCTTAGGGGTATTTTTGGCTGATGCCGGTTCAGGTAGGGGAATTGAAGGGGTCGGGAATCCAACAAACAACCGGCACCCCCAAACAAAAGACTTTGGATGGTTAATTTAGGTGGGCCTGGAAACCCAGCGCGCACAGATTTCCTCTTTGAACATCCCCAAAAAAAACACACCGTCTTTAGAAAGTCACTCGTTTTTTTTTTTTTTTTTGTTTTTTTGGGGGGGGGATGTTTAAAGAGGAAATCTGTGCGTGTTGGGCTTCCAGGCCCACCTAAATCAACCATCCAAAGGCATGTGTTTTCTAAAGGCGGTGCTGAAAAGGCGGTGCTGAGTTCTGCTGAAGGGGGAACTAAATCGACCTTCCCCGCCTGAGGCATGAGGGTTTAGGGAGCAATGTGACAAGTTTTGGTCATTTGACGACTGTTTTCTACGCCAAACGCCAGCTCAGAGTGACATCTGTTTCTGGTTGAGGGGGAAAATGATGGAAACCCAAAAAAGGCATGCCAATGTCCAAGGCTTACTGAAGAATCAGTGGTTGAGCAAAAACACCTCCACGTTTCTCCAAATTGGGGATCCCTAATTTGAGAAACACCCATTTGCTAACCTGAGTTAGGGAGGAATGAATAAGGGGCATTGCATCCCCAGAGCCACTGTGAGCGGTTCAGGGCCCAAAGGAAGGCCAGTAGCTTGTGTTCAGGACTGCAAATCCATGCCCCGAGTAGATCTAGGCGACGCAACGTCCATTCCTGTCTCCCCTGCCGAAGTGTGGTTTTACAACAAAACAAAAGGGGGGTCAGCCGCCCCAAAGTGCAAACAACTCCTCTTTAAATGGATCCAGCGATTTTCTTGGACTTCAAGAAGGTGGCCGACAAGGAACCAGAAGCCGAGCGATGACGCATTCGCATCTCGCAAATCGAAGTGCAAGCACAGCTGGCCAGCTTGGAACCCCCAATCGCCAGCTCGCAGGCACGTTTTGAAATCTCTCGGCCTCGAAGCCAGCCAACGCCTTGTCCAAAGGTAAAGCAAGCCGCCAACCAAAAGTGAGGGACTCCCCCCTGAACAGGAACCATCTGGGCTGGCAGTTGGGCACATTCTGTCAAGAGGAGATACCCCAGAGTGTCGCTTGCACGCCCCGCCTGTGTACTCCTTGGTCTTTCCATCTTGCGCTTCTATCCGCGACTTGATCACCTGCCCCGCCCCAACTTCCCTTCGGCAAACAAATCCCGACCGATCCCGGAAGGAAACGCGTTCCTTGTGTCACCAGAGACGGAAACGCACATTGGCCCAGTTGGTGGCTTTGCCAAGGATGTTGTTCTGTCAACATCCAGGACCCCCCCCCCCCGCCAAAAAAAAAGGCAGGACATTTAGGAAGCAGTTCCAAACCATGGATGTAGCCCATAAAAGCCGTGGTTTGCAAGTTACCGAAAGAACTTACAGCCATGATTTTCTGTTGATAAAACATCGGGTTGCACCGCCGCGCTGGGTCATAAACCCAGAGAACATCAGATTGGCTTGTATAGCCCCCCCCTTTGTTTCTTCTCTTTATCAAAGGCAAACGCTCCCTGTCCCTACCTTGTATCCTTTGCTGCCGAGCTGCATCGATGGGGTTATTCAGCAGCGTGCTGGCGCAGCCTGTGATGCCTCCTGGCTGAACGTAGGGTTGCGCGAAACTTGGTCCGATGATCCAGAGTCACATCCTCAAACAGGTCTTCCGATTGGTTGCTTCCATGGAAGCCACCCAAAAGTACCCGTATAAGAACTCTTTGACATGTTCATTTTGAGGGGCCCCGGTTGACTGTGAGCATTGGGGGCTCGAAGCTCGCCGACTCCCAGCGAACCGATTTCCAAGGCCGGAAGGTTCCGGCGGCCCTCGGGGTTGAGAGGACCTGCGCCTGGTGGATTCAAGCAAAGCCGTGCACATCTGGGATGTCCTCACCGTCTACCACCTGGCCTGTCTGAAAGTGAGGCTCGGAACCCTTTCTCAGGTCGTCCGAAAAGGAACGCCAAAGGACAATCGCTCCTGTTGGGGTTTCCTCCCCCACCGGCCCCTTTCTGAGCTACGGAAGAGGGCTTGCTGCTTTGCCCTCTCACTTTGCCGCTTTTCCGAGGGACCACCTTGGCCACGCAAAACATGTCACTCCCAGCTTCGATCTTCCTTGGTCAGCGAAGCTTGCAAACCAGGTGGGCAGAAGCTGGGCCAAGCCAACAAACCAATCCCCCGGGCGCAAGGGTAGAAACTGGGGCTGAGGAAAACCGAAGGAAGCCAGCATAAAGAAGACACAGAGAGGTTCGGAAAGTCCTCGATCAGGAAGGCGGAATGGAATGTTCACCGACACCAAGTGCCGGCATGGTTACAAAAGGTTTATATGCACCTTGCTATGAGCTCCATAAAGCTAGGTGGCAGTATCACCAATTAAAATTGCCAATCGAGGTTTTCGTCACGTTGGGTGCGTAAATGTGGAGATCCTTTCCCAGTTTGCTTCTCCTGCGACTGCAGACTGCCATATCTGCGGGGGGTCCGTGGTGAGCGCCGCCTGAACGAGTGGAGGGAATGGGAGCGCTCCAATTCGTTGATCGTCCAACGTCCAAACGGGATTCGCCGCTGGTGTGCAGCATCCTCAAAACGACCCTTTTAATGGCTGGTGCTCAGTTGGGAATGACGCAGGCTGTTGGGAATGCCTTAGGGATCCGCTTGAGGGAAACCACAAGGGATTATTTAGATTAGGGAAGCCACCCCCGAATCAACAGTAAATTTGACAAGCCCTCAAATGTTCACTTTGAGGTTTGAACCCTCTTTTGCGGATGGTTTCAATTCGATCAAAGCCTTATGAATGGGTCCCCCATCTCAAATATTGCAAGTAGAAAAACAGGGAGCTCCGTAGTACTGGCCCATGATTTGTGGCTGGCTGATTGTACAAGTTCCAATGGCTGCTGCTAGTGGGCTAGGACGCAAGCTAAAACCAGGGTACCCACTTGGCTCATGGGTCGCACATCTCCGGCTGACCACCGTTGCCCACCCAAGCCCTGGCGGGCCCTTTGCTCTCTGAACCGCTGAAAGCTACGCAGATCGTCCCCGGAGAGGTTCGGAGCAAGGGCTGGGGTGGGGATGCAACCTGGGCTTATGGGGGAAAAAAAGACACGACCATGCGTAGCAACACCTAAGAAGGTTAAAGACTGTGTCCACACCGGGAAAGACCGGCAATTCCCGCAACAGTTCCCAAACCAAAAAATCAGAACCGGATTTACACTACATCCTCCAGTAGAGAGGTTAGAATAAGGGTACCCTTTTTATGTAGTCTATTTTAGTAGGGGAACCGTCCACCCAAAAAGGGTAAAAGGGCACTGATGGGGGACCTAGTGCAGGTACATACCCGCATCACGGTTTCGCCCGCTTCGCCCGCAAGCTCACCTTGGCGGAAAGATCTAGGGGATCCTTAGGAGTACGTGACCTGCGGGCCAAAAATCTATGACCCAATGCGTTTACCTCCATTCGGAAGTGCCACAGGAAAAAAACATAATTTTATTATTGCTATTATGTGCCATGTTTCGCATGTTTGTTGGAATAAACCTCTTGAGTCCCAGAAAATCATAATAATACTCACACCAATAAAGCAATTTTCTGCGCCTGGAAAAAAGCGGAAAAAAACAGTCCGCCTTCACGTGCCCGTACAGCGCGAAGCGCACCCCCACGCCGGAGGCTTGTCGGATGCCGGTGGCGCCTATGCCTGGCAGGTGTGCGTGTGTGGGCTCTCTCTGTAAAGATGACTCTAGCTGTTTTGCTTTACTTTTTGGGTGGGTTATGTATCAAGCATAACATCTTTAGGCCATATACAGAGCGTACACATTTCTCAGGCTGGATGAGCCCCCAACAGGGAATGTTCGGCCAAAAGAAGGGGGTGACACTCACACTCTCCGGAACATACCTAAACATTAAACAAACATATTACTGTTAGAGGTTCATGGTCCTAGAAATGTGACAAGCACGATGAAGCAAGAGGTTAAGGCCACACATCCTGCCCAGCAAGACCTGGCATCGTCCAAAAACAGGCCCCCCTAAAACCTTTCAAACAACGCCCACTAAAATTGTAAAACAACATGTATTCACACTCTCCCTCAGACAAACTTCGCCAAAGACAACTCATGAAGTTGGTCCAACACGTGATGTTAAAGCTGACTCAGGTGAGTGAAGGGCTCGAGCCTTTGCATCCGAGCAAGTTATGGCCCTGGCTGGTTTCTCAAAATCCTGAGTCATAACCAAAAGCTTGGCGTTGCCTAAGCCATGCCCAGAATTCAAAGGGCGGATATCCGCACCTCAGTATCTTTAGCGCAGCCGAGTTTTGATTGTGTGGCTCTGCTAATGGGTTGACTTTATCCCTATAGGAAGCCTTGATATTTCGGTCCAATTGGACAGCATGGCCTTTGCATTCACGATTGGCCGACAGTGACGTCTGCTCCCTTCGGAGATTGCTTCAATTGGAAGCTGTTGCTTTGGTCTGAGCTCGGTGTAAATCATGAATATGGAGCTGAGAACGCACCATGGAATGCAGCCTCCGGTAGTAATGATAAGTTTGGATTAATCCGGAGAACCGCCAAACAGGGGTGGTTCCCCAGTTCGTAGAGAAATTGTAAGTTTCTTAGGGGATTCCCCTATTCCCCTAACTAGTACAACCTCCATGTCAATCCAAAGTTAACGTTGTCCTTTCCGGGATTTTGAAGTCATCATTTCATGTACACCCAGTCTGCCTTGCCCATTTACGGAGAAACCTCTTGTTCCATGGCGTATGTTGCGAACCTGTTGTGAAACTGTACTTCCCTCCCTCCACTACAGAACTATGTGATACTATATATGGCTATTGCCCCCCTACACAAGACACACACACACACCTTGCCGAGTGGGAAAGGCATCATACTCCCCCCAAAAATGGAAAGGTCCAAAGTCCAACCCGAGCAAACAAACAACATGGCCCGCATGTGGTGCTCTTTGACGCCTGCGTAGAGGCCGGTGATGCCGTGCTCAGTGGCAACCTGCAGGCGAAAGGAAGAGGCAGGCCCCAGACCCAACTGGCAAAATGAAAAAAAAACAAGAGGGGCGATCCAATAAGCACATCATTTCTCTTCAGACGGAAAACACACAAATAACGCCCCAATCAAGAAAAACTTTCGCACAGAGGGGAAATGTGTGGGGAATGGCTGCCTCTGTTGGGCGTACTCCCGCATGTTCCATACGTTGCTTTGTGGACTGGGATGGGTAGTGAGTCAAGCCTTGCAACCGTACCATGGCCGTGTGCCAGCACAAACAATGGGCTGAGACAATGGCTCAACCACGAGATGCTGGTTGGCAGGCTCTGGGCACATAGCGCCTTGAACCGCCAGAGCCAAGAAGAGTCAAGCGGGTGTCCAAATAAGGAGTTGGACCCACCAAAATGGCACCAGATGGACCGAGCCTCTCGCTTGCAGCTCGTGGGTCCCATCCCTCAAAACAGTGTAGCTTGCGGCAAGCTTCAGCAATTCAAGCTGCATGGATGCTCATAGCCTCAATGTGTTTTGTTTTTGTTTTCTTTTTTTTTGGGGGGGGGTTCGGTTCATGAAGCAAGTTGCAGTCCAAATTCCGGATTGCTTGCGTCTCCTCCAGGGATGACACGTGCCGGTTCCCCGCCCGGGGAAAAAAACAAAGCGAACACATAAATTCTAAACAGGGGATCCAGCAATTTGCGGGGGATCCGGGCGTCGCCGTGGAAATCCCAAGAAAATCCGAAAGCAGAGCCCACGAAAGACGGTTAGGTTCCATGTTTGGGGGTGCCAATGTAGACCAATGTAATTCCGAACTGCTTGTTTACCACTGAATGGCCCTCCAACAAAAAAGTCCAGCAGCTTTGGAAGTGGGGTGGCAATCCACCGGACAAAGTCCAAGAATTTATCCCAAGGCCCGAAATGAGGGCCGGGCAGTCTTCACCGAGCCCACAAGGCTAGAGTATCTGTTCCTGGATCGAGCTGGGTGAATTGCAACCCACCTGTTTGGGTCTCGGAATTGGGACCCTGATGGTTGGTTTTTCTTTTCTCAGATGCCCAAAACCCTCTAAATGAAGGTTCATGTTTTTGGGAACTGCACGACACATGCGGCTTTGGATAAATGAGTGCTGGCTCCAGCTCCCCAAACGGACACCTCCAACCCTGCAGCTCTGGGCCTGTTTGCAGGACATTGTTCTAAGAGATCCTGTTCACTTCCATAGGTGAAGACCCTGGGAAAGGCATCCTCCAAGCACTTGGGTTGCCGTCGGTTTGGGAACTCACAGCCGGTCCAATGGATACCTCAAAGCTGAGGAAAACCAATGCAACCTTTGGCTTCGCGGAATCCAAGTGCCCTCGCTGTGGGATCTTTTCTTCCACAGTCACAGTGGATAAGGCACAACTTGGGACCGCGTGAACCACGGCCTCAGCACAGTGGCCTCTTGGGTGTGTGAAAGCTAGGACCCTTCCGAACGGCTTTCTCGTCTCCCTTCTGAGGAGTGTGCACTCAACTCCGCGTTTTTCGTAGTGACCTTCCAACAAATGCAAAAAACAGAAATCTGAATGAACCGCTGGCTGACGTTCCCGATAAGAGCGCCTACACCTTTCCAAAAGGGAACCACTCTAAACAAAGGACACAGTCACACACCCCATGGGTGCAGCCTCGAATTTGTTCACCGGCAAAAGGAGGGGAAGGCTCCAGTGAGAACTGAGCATTCCCCGAAGTTTCCCTCCAGGGCTATGGTTTGCAGAGCTTGCCTGCTGCAGGGGCCTAAGTGGACCATAGTTCATTAGATGTTGTGGGGTGCAGTGGCTAACATCAGTCTCTCATCTAAGGAGCAAGCCGTTGGCATTTAGGGCTCCTTACAAAGCTCGCTTTACTCACCCCGAAAACCTGGAGGGCTCCCCCCCTCCAGTGAGGTCTGGGGTCGTCCCCTGGGCGCCCGACAGCCCGGACTTGATGTCGTTCTGGCGCAGCACTTTCAGCCGCTCCGTGGGCGTGGTCCACAGGAAGGCCTCCCGCCAAACGCAAGGCGCGCGGTTCCAGGCGGCCCACCGGTTTTGGGCAAGGAACCTATTTGGGTGTCACAAGGGGAATCACATTTGTGCAGCCCATTTTGCCTTTGGTTGCCCCGAAACGAACCTGTCTCACAAAAAGGGGATCACTTTTTGGGAATGAATCGTAACTTCCCCTTTGGTTGCCCCAAAAACGAACCTGTCTTCACAAAAACGAGAAAGCCACACAAATCGTAAATTATGTCCCTATTGGTTGCCCGACAATAACAACAACAGCCTGAAAAGGGGACTCAAAAACGACACACCCATTTAGGGGTTTTGGGAATGAACGTAGGGGCGTGCTTGCATGCAGCCACAAGGGATTGTTCGTGCTGGTGAATCTCTCTTGCTCACCTTTTGGTCAGAATCAGCAAGACAAGTCTCCTCCCTTCAATTGGTCTGCACCAAAGTAAAAGCTATAGATGGCGCGATTTGTGGCAGATGTGGGTATGCAAAGGGATGGCTGAACCAAACTGAGAGAATTGCGCCATCTACTTCCAACCACCGCATGAGCCGTCTTTATGGAAATTATTGCAAAAAAAGAAGTCCCGGAAAAACGTGACTTGTTCCAGGATTGATGGGATCAAACTCTTTGACGCATAACACGGGGGAGAAACAAAAAAAAACAGGACGCATGAAGTCCCGGAGAGGTGGGTCCCTCAGTCATTCCGGAAACCCTTTGAGGGATCCTCGGGCCTTGGCCTTAGTGCTACCTGAAACGTCCTGAATGGATTGGCCAAAATAAGTTCCAAAACCATTCGAACATGTGGATTTTTGCCACTCACAGAGTTTCCTCCATGTCTCATCTTGGAACCTCCAAAAGTGCCAGTTTCAATGGACACCACCAGTGAAAAACAACAACTTGCAAAGCTGACCCCTGACTATAAAATGGCCTTTCTCCAGTTCTTTTGTTCCATGAGACGGGCGGGGGCCCCAGACCCCCCGCCAACCGGGGCCCCCCGTGTCGCCGCTCGTTTCGCCCCCCTCCGCCTCGGCGAAGCCCGCGCCAATGCCGGCGAGGAAGTCCACGGAGGCGTTGGGCACCGGCGCCAGCTGCAGCAGGAACTTGAACCTCCGAAAACCCCGAGGGTGTGGTCCATTTGTCGAACACGCCGAAACGGCCGCTGGCTACAACCAGAAGCAATCAACATGAGCTAAAGACCAAAATCCAAAACCCCAAAGAGGGGTGAAAGGGACACAATCACAAAACGGCTTGTACTGACAAAATGAGAACCAGAAGCAATCAGAGTAATGACACCAGCGAATATTAAAACCCGAAGCGAAAGATGTGGCCCATTTATCCCCTACTGGGGTCTCTGTCCAGATAGGCTCGTTCGGGGTGGCTTGGGGCAGCTTTATTTTAGGGTGCCGGCTCCTCAATGCTCCTCGAAATGGCGCACCGGTTGTCCTGTGGGTTTCCCCTTCAGCCAAAGAAGGGGTGCCATCAAAAAAGGCAAAGCTGGGAGGTATCTAAGTCTTGCAGCCAACAGAGATACCCTGACCCTGTTCAAAGTTCCATAGTTCGCCTACCCTGAAATAGGGAGCAGTTTTGGAGGACCTCAGTAAACAGTCGAAACTCCCAGCTACAATTGGTCCAGCAAGTGATGATCTGATGTTGAAACTGGCTTTAAAGGGAAGTATGTATACCCCAGTGATATGGGTGAATCCAACTAGGTGCGGATATCTGCCCTTCCGATTCTTTACCATGGCAGTCCTTTAGTGCGTGCTGATTCTGCCGAACCATCAGGTAGACCGCCACGTTCCCACTTTCCCAACCTAAACGGACTCCTTTTGGATCTTTATGAAAGCCGAAGGAGTGACCCATAATGGTCCTAGGATGCTACACGCAGGATTGTCCTGTGCAAGGACCCCGCTTGTTGGACCACCCCGGGTCCCATTTCGCTCAAGACAGCGAAAAGGCGGCGAGTAAGGAAGGCGCGCGAGCGTTTAGGGCCCCCGGCTGCTCAAACGCCGTAAAGCGAATGGCGCCTTTCCCCGCCACCTGCGAGCTGAACGGCCGAGATCAAATCGGCCGGGAGGCATCGAAGGCGGCGTCTTTTGATGGGGCGAAGCGACTGCGATTCAGCCTGGTTTCATGTTCACACATCCGTTGTTACAGCTATCCTGTTGCTTCCCTAGAGGTCGGAGGTCGTTTGTTGCTGAAGCACAACTTGCCCAACACTGGGCTTCTCCTTGCAAAACGGAGAAATATGAGAGGACTGCTCACTTTTTCGGTGTGTTGGCAAGTGGGGAAGTTCTCCCCAAAGTTTCTGCTTCACAAGCCACACGGTGGCCATTGGATCGGACGTTGCTGCCACTTTGCCCCCCCAAGCCCCAGCTCAATGAGACTTCGGTAGGGTTTCAATCCACAAATCCACAAAGCCGCGGTTGGTTGCTTGTTTGCCTGGTTTGCGGAAACCAAGCCGAAACATTGCTCTCCGCCAAGGGAAAAACAGCAGAGATCCCGCCAACAAACAAGCGTCCAGCACAGCACAGGGAAGCCCACGAGCATGCTGAATTCAGAATGCTACATGCCATCGTGAGTTGCTTGGAAAAGCCTCCCCTGCCACTTTGATTATTACAAGATGGGTAATGTTACCAAGGACCAAGTCAGTCAAAGGCACCCCATTATTCTATTTTCACCCCCACCAAAACGGGGCCAATCAGGCATGAGAAGCTGGTCCGGCATCACACAGACTTCTTGATTTTGCGGTTTCAAGAGGACATGACTCCAACGAAAAAAGGCACGCAAACACCTGGAAACCAGTGTGGTGCTGTGCCGTGGTTTGGAGATTAGCCAAGCGGTTCGTAGTCCCACTTGTCAAGGTGCACTTACCATCCCAAAACATATGGAGCCTGAATGAGGCTCCGGGCTTGTTGGGGAATTGACTGGGGGTGGATAACTTCCAATCACGTGGTAGAAGCCGCAATATGGTAGTATCAATTGATCAGAACTCATCTTCAAAGAACCGGGCCACAGGCATCGTTCTTGGGATTTGGGTTCTTCAGGATTTGGTGTTGCAAAAGCGTTTCCAACTGTCCATGTCAACCTCCCAGGATACCTTCAGAGCAAAATATCCCAGACACCCAATAAAGGGAATTGGTGAGGTTCGGGGTATGCACAAAAGGCAAGAGTCTTTGACCATTGCCTCTGCACACACGGTTACTTCTTACAACACAAATCGCACACCTGAAATAACGGATCAAGTCATTAAAGGATGTCTCCAAATGTGGGACCCCAACATGGCGGCGATGTCCCTTCGGTTTCCGTTTCAGCCATCCCAAAAATGGTACCTTACCTAGTCCCAGTCGAGAGGACAGAATAAGGGGCCCAACTTTTTTCAGGACGTCTGCTTTAGGGTCCCGAACCCTCCCCCCAAAAAAGAAACAATAAAAGGGCACGACTGGGATGGGAGAATGAGTAAACAAAACCGGAGGGTATAAAGGGGCACGACTGGGATGGGAGTTAGTTAAACCGGGACACCGGCACCGACACCGGGACCCGTGAGCCCGTGAGCCGAGTTCGCCTGGAGCAGCACCGCGGGCAGACCGAAGTAGAAGCCCTGCACACCTCACGCCCGAGGCGAGCCATAGGGAGGTTTGCAAATCCAAACCGATAGCTCAAGAAGGATACCATAGCTTTCCGGAAATGTACCACCACAACCAACGTCCAAATCGGAAACCAATTCCTGCCAGGAATTGTGGGAAAAGGGGCGGAGATGTACCAATTCCCATCTGAAATGTCAGCCACCCAAATGGACTGAGATTTTACCTCCAGTGGCCATGGGGAAAAGAGGCGCTCTGAATGATGGGTTCTTCTGAAAGAACCTCCAGCAAAACAGAAACCCAACCCTCTGCCTGCCTCATGCGTCTCTCTGCTCGTCTCTGCTGGAGAAACCCAAGCAATGAGCCCCAAGGTTTGTCACATCACCCACATCTCCAGGTCGTAAAAACCAAGTGGAGGGTGAGAGGGCAAGTTGAGATCTGAAACAAGTGCGGTTGGCCCCCGTACTTTTCATCCATCACTTTACGGGTCCCATGCCGTTACCGCCTCAAGCATGCTTTCGTGCGAACCCAGGTGTTGCACGCCCCTCTCATCACTGAATCACGGTCTACCACACACTGGGCCGCATCTTTATCCAGGTTGACCACGAAGCTGCTCGTTCGGAGGCTGGGGGGGTGAGACCTCAACATTCACCTCCAAAAACGTCAATGCACACCACTCATCAAGACGAGCCTGCTGCTTCCCTGACCGCTTCTGTCGCATAGAGCGGAGAAATAACATGGGGCCTTAAACTGGCTGCTATAGCTAAGGGATCTGAAACTATTGAAAGATCCCATTCCCGATTGGTTTCGTCAAGTAACTACTCTACATGGAACAAGGTCTGTAAAAAGGAGATTGCTCAAAACATGAGGGTTTGTTTGGTTCCATGCTAATCTCCAAAAGGGTAAGATCAGTTTTGTACGCCCAGCTTTTCCTTCACGAGTGGCATCCACTGCTTCCCCCAAAAGGGTGTCTCTCTTTGTAGTTGACTGCCAAAATGGTAGTTGTCCTTTTGGTTCCCCTTCACAACCAAAAAAAGGGGTCCTCTCAAAAACGTCCCACCCAAATCTCGAGGTTTGCTGCCCCAGCCTTTCAGCTGGTAGATTTGCTGCGCGCCGGCGACGGGCCCCATGCCCGTACGGTTCACCTGGTTGTGCAAACTGGGCGTCTGAAGCGACATCGGGCTCTTTTCTTGCATAAGGGTACCCTTTGCGTTGGTTGAGAATGGGAAACTGAAAGGAAGAAGCATCCTTTTTAAGGTGCGCCTATTTTGACACACATCCATCAAGGTCCCCCTATTTTGACACACATCCATGCGCAGAGAAGTCGTTTTTTGTTTGTTTGTTTGTTTGTTTGTTTGCCGGTGGGTGCGAACGGTGGGATTCTCGTCCAAACCATCACTCGTTGTGTCTCTGTATTTGGGCAACACGAGAAGCTTTCTGAAAAGCAAGTTGGGCCACATCGAAGTGGTCCAATCGGCTCTCCGGAATGGGCAGGACGCCTGTTTGAGAGGCTGGACCTCTGCAGTCCTCCCTCCGTTCGGGCCACAAAAACCGGATGTAGCACAGTAAGCTTTCTCTTTTCTGGCCTCTTCGTCAACCCCATGCAAACACCAGAGTCATTTTTCAACGCAACCAATCAAGTGCAAAACCCGCTTTTTCGCTGGTTGAAAGGAAGCGAACTAAACCCCAAAAGACGAAGGCGATTCGACCCGAATCGATCGCCTGGCAGAAGGTCTTCACAGTGTCCAAGGGCATCGTCACCGAGACCTGACATCGGAGGAATCCAACCACCACAAAAAAACTGCTGTTCTCACTTCCTGCGTTTGGTCAAAACCCATCCGAACTTTGTATAACACGAAGTTCAGCCGGGCGTTGAATCTCGGGTCTGGGGCTGCGCCCCTGCACTCCTCCGTCCTAGGGAACCCAGGCGCAAAAAATATGCTCACCGAGGAACAATTCATCAACCCCTAGATCTGCCATTTCTTGGTTGCTGCTGACCCCTCTGGCCAAAAAGTGAATGACCTTTTCGTGGGCTTACTGGACTTCTTGATTTCCAAAAAAATAAACAAGCCTACAGATCCAACCCAGCAGCAATCAATCTTCAGCACCTGAACCACCCCCACCCTCTGGACTCGACTCACTTGAGTGACACTGGCTGCAGGGCTCGCCTCGGTGGCGCCAGAGCAGAACCCCGCGGCGAAGCTGACCTGAAAGCTCAGGGGGCGGGGGGGCGGGGGGTTCCGCGCCCACTGTTTTGGTTTGAAAGGGAAGCTCCGGGGGAAGTTGGGGTGATCCTCAAAAAAATACGTGGGTGTCTATTTCATAGTGTTTGGTTGGTTTTAAAGGGAAGCTCCAGAGGAGTTGGGGTGTACTCAAAAGTCTATATGTGGGTGTCTATCTTTTGGGGATGTTTGATTCGTTGGTTTTAGAGGAAGTTGTCAAACACGCCCAAATGGGCCTGTGGTGGTTTTGTCGTGGCAATCACCTTGCAGGCGCCTGCTCGAGGGAACGGACAGTTGAACTAGCAGCACATGCGTCAGGCAGGAGGGATAAACATGTATGAAGATTTGATAGGTGTTTCAGCGAAGTCATCGAGCCAACTGGCTGCATCATTGGATCAGCCTTTTGGACCCACTCACAGCATTGCCTGCTGGCAAATGGAGGGTCTGGATATGATGTTGGTTGTCTTTCAATGCATCTCCAGTCTGTTTCCTTTTGGGAGGCGACTAGTTACGGTTGCCTTTCAAGCACCCGCATTGGACCCATGCAAAATGCTTGGACATCATTAAGTAAGCATAGATTCGCATGAACCCTCTGGCATACCAACGTGGGATTCAGTCTGGGCAACCATGTCAGGGAGGTCGCACACCAAAACTTCCAAGTGAGACCCTTCAATTAACCCTCGCCACTTGCTAGCTTCAACCTGAATCAAGAGATCCATGGCAACCAATTGCAAACCTCTGCACCGTTCGCTACCGCCCTAACTATACTTAGCGTGCACATATACATTTTTTTGGACATGTATGTACATATATATATATATATATCATGGATACACATGTACGTGTGGGTGCACTTTTGGCACCTTTTTTTGTGGGTTGGTGTTAAAAGCCAAAAGCAACCAAACATCTTTCGCCTTGATGCAGCCCTGTACTCTTGGCTTCGGACCAAACCCATGCAAAGCATACCCTCCCACATTGAACCTGCGGCCCGTTTTTCAGGAAACATGTCTTCCAGGACACCCCATTTGGATTTCAGGTGAGTTGAGTGGAGGGGACTGTTTTCACTACAGTGACATCCTCAACCTCCACCCCCCGACGAAAGAAAAATTGAAAGCCCCTGATAATGCAACCACTTTGACGTGCCCAAGAGTATCGCACCTCACGCAAGAGGAGGGAAGATGGCACTTAAGTCTACTCAGAACCATGTAATTCAATTGGCCACATCCATTTCTGCTTGGGACTGGCCCTGCCCTTCTACCCGGGTTGTGCTTGTGGCCCCTTTCATCCCACAGCCGAGCGGCCACCCAGTGAGCTTTCTTCTTCTTCGCGCTCGCGCTCGCACTCGCCATGGCAGCATCCGCCTCTGGAAGGCTGCGCCGGTTGAGGCCACGCCGTGAGTTTACCAAAAGGGAACGCAGGTCTTTGGTCGCCTTCTCCGTTTTTTTCTCCTCTTTTCTTTTCTTGCTTTCCTCTCTCGCTCTCTCACCTCTCTTCCTTTTGTGTTGCGGCACTTTACAATCTCTTGGTATCTCTTGGTGCAACCACCACCCTTGAGGATTGCCAGAGTGGACTTGAGTTGCACGCGGGTGGCTCCTTCGACTGAAGGACACCGGAAGAAGCGGGATTTCTTTTTCAGCTCCAAGAGCACTGCTGGAGATTCGTGAACCAGGTGGATTTATAGGGATGGGTCTCTCAAAAGTGAAGGGTCCCCTCAAGGGAACGCCCCTCTATTAATTAATGGACTAAGGGCTTTATGAATCCTGGCTTCGAACAAGGGGCAGCATCCTTGCAACAATCATGGAAGCTGACAGCATGGTCAGCCCTCTTGAAAAGACTGACCACGTCCACCATTGATGGAAAGAGGCCATGCTTTTTCCCAATCTGAAACAGGGAAGACCCGTGCAAGCAGTCTTTACCAGAGATGAAATTGCCAATCCCTAGGTGAGGCGGCGGCTAGAACTTGCTCAGACCAATTTGCGGATGAACATGAATTGGGGCTTCTAGACAACTAAGTCCTACAGCAGAGAGGCTAGAATAAGGGTACCCTTTAATCTGTAGTCTATTTTAGTAGGGGAACTCCCCAAAAAAGGGTTAAAAACACTACTGGGGGACAACCATGACCACGGTTCCCACTGACACAAAAGGAGCCATGACCATTCCATCCTGCCTTCGCTGGCAGCGCCGTGGCTGAAGCCGCGGCCATCTCCCGGAAAAAGATGCGCGAGCTGTCGGATCGCGAATCGGTCGCGGGGTTTGCTGGGGTTACCAAGCGGGCCTGAGCCAATCTGAGGTGCGCGGTTTGGTCCGCAGCTCTTGCAAACCAACATCTCCACAGATCCTCTCGCGATGGGTGAAAATTGACTAGTCCTGAAACATATGTGACTTGAATCTCCACGGAAAGCCTCACAAGGCAATTGGACCCTCCTGGCAGAAGCGGGGATCTCGACATGCAGAAATGATTAGCATATCTTTTTGGCACAGGATGTAGTGGATCTGAAAACTCCCGCTCAACCCTCCGTTTCGGTGACCATGCTGCTTAGTACCGCCGTGATTTAGGGAGCCGATGGGTTTCGTGACATGCGCGTCAGTTAGGTCGTGCAAGCCGTTGTCCTCCCAAAACAAGAGCTTCAAAGCTAGGAACGCTGTGGAGGATGCTTGGCGCAGATTCTGCTTCATATTTAGCAAGAAATAACACACAGCCAAGGTAAGCCCAAAAATTGTTGGTTGGTTCTCTCTTTCTCTCTCTGCATGGACAAAACCAGTCCATGTAGCCTACCTCAGCTTCGCCCCCTGAACCTCCGTAAAATCAGTTCAAGGAGATCTCAGTGATTAAGCAGACGGTACACAACCACGAAACGGAACACATCCGGTGAAGCCGCAAGATCCCCACCTCCCCACAGGAGCCGACTCCCAGCGACCGGCCAGCTCTATGTGCAGCTTTACCGCGCAGAAGGGGTCAGTCCCTGGCTTGATTGGGTGCCAAATTGTAAATATACAACAAATGCAACATCATCTTCTGACTTCCTTCGCATGCAATGGACAGAACATGTGGGGAACCTAATTGCTCCGGCTATATGAATGTGTTTGCCCAACGGTCTGGAAACAAAGTGGCCCTTTTTGGTTGGTTGGAAAGGGCTTACCGCCCCAAGGCTACACCAGCTTCTGCCTAGAAATGTCATGGCTCCAGCCCAAGTGACCACGGACAAATTGTTGGGGACATCCTGAATATAACTTTTGGGAAATCACACCAACGAAAAAACATTACCCCTGAACATGCCAAGATATGCCACGCCTTTTCAGTCAAGGGCTCAAATCCTTCTCTCTCGCGGAGGCCCCTCCGCCAAACAACTCAGCCCGCGGCACCGCACGCGCCGGCAATCGAAACCTGCGAGGCATCGGATTTGGGGATCCGCTGATGGGACAACCAGATGGGTGTGTCTCAAAATGGAGGACCCCCACTCAAAGAAGGTAGCCTCAAAAAGACACACCCATTTGTGCCACCAAACTCTTTGGGCGTTTTGTTTGAGGCTCGGTACCCTTGGATGGTGGTTTCAAGGGAAACCAGAAGAAAACACCAATACAGCTTGGGGGCTCCATATATTTTGTGACAAACCAAATGCAAGCGACTTCTGTGGATCATGGCCTGCTACTTCCCTACACAGTCCATGACCATCCGCGATATCCCCAGGCGACGAGGTCTTTTAACCATGGCATTTTTTGTGGACATGCTTTAGGTGGGGCTTTGTGTCCACCAATCACTTGCGAGGGCCATTCCATAGGTCCAGTTTCACATTCTGTTGCAACTCGATCACCACAGGCAACGGCGAATTCGCAGGGAGTCCATCGCCTTCCAGGAGCCATATGAGAGCTCGTTGCTGGCGCCCTTTCGCTAGGGCAGCGAAACCCCTTGGTTTAGGCCTACATGCTTGTTGGTCTGTGCATAGATTCTAGCGCTGGACGACCGCTTGTTCTTTTCATTGAGGCCCATGAAACACCAATGTGAGCCCCAAGTCTATGCAAACAATCAAAAGGGCTGGGACTGTCCTCTAATCTTCCATTTGCTCAAGGCCCCTGGAAAAATAAACATTGTTCCAGTGGTGATGCATTCCCTTTAAAACCAAAACTGGAAACAAACAACAACATATTTATTTCAGAAAATGGAAGTATCCAGGTTTTGATCATGGCGCTGGGGCGCCCGGCTTGATGACCTTCTCCTCGAACCGCGTCTTGGTCCTCAGGACGCGTTGTGTTATTTTTCCCAGTGGATGGACCAAATCCGCGGAGAAGGCACCAGTTGCCAGTTGGGATGGATGAATTTTTATACGGGGATAAAGCGGGGCGCGAAGCGACTTCGTCCATCCCAGTTGGAGTGCTCAGGTGTTACTTCCGCCTGGAAGCTGTTCAGAAACAATCCAGCCCTGTGCATCGAAGGCTGGATGGATGGACAGAATCTCTGCGCTGACCCTCCCCCACGAAACCAAGCTTGAGTCGGCTTGAGCATTTTTCTCCGGACGAGCCGTGTACCGGACAAAAAAGCAAAACCAACCGACTTTGGGCACCTAAGGCCAGCGCTTGATGTTGACAAACTTGGGGATGTCCGCATCTTCCTCAATCTGCACCTTAGGCCCAGACTCCTTAGACCAGGCCAACATATGAGGAACAACCCGTCCTCCACTCCTGGGTGAAAATCAAGAGACGCCCCCTCCTCTTTGCGACCCTTTCACTTCCAGACGCAAGCTAATAAGCAATGCCGAAGTGTGGGATCCATCCACGAGCGGGTGAAACCCGTTTATTGAACGAGAGTTCCAATGGGAAGGGCGGCGCCTGGATAACGCCAAAGCCATGGGACGTGAAACACCGTGGCCCCCCTCCAAGATTTCCCTTGGGGAACGGAACCAACAAAACCAGGCCAACTTTTCTCCTCGGGGTTCCTGGCAAATTTCTGTACTTCCCAAATTGAGGATACTTGGAACCCCCTCGCAGTAAAGGACCTTCATCATGGGTGAGCACCCGTCTTAGCCCCAAATCGGTGAGCGCGTCATACGTTAACCAAATATAGGGGGTAACGGTTTGCCTTTCTCGCCCCTGTTCGAAGCCCACGGTCGCCAGCTTGCAGAACGCGCCTTCTCAATGTGGTCTGTGCCGATGACCTCACTTGAATCGTCGCTTATGCACACTCTCCGGATGGTTTAGCTGTCTCCAGGTTGCACCCAGCAAGCCCCAATGAGATTTATGTCTCCCCCGTTGTTGGCTGCATCTGGGGCTGACAAGTGGCACATAGTAGTTGGAAGGGGTCATTTCTTTTGTTAGAATGTTTACTTGCATCTGGGGTTAAACGCCCAGTAAAAGCTAGTTGGGAGCATTCCACCCCACTCAGACTGAAACCATTTGGTGGGAGCAGACATGCGCTGGGTTGACAAGTGGGAGATCCTTCTCAATGTCCGCTTCCCTTAAAAGGCGCCGCAACAAGACTGAAACGCTGAAGAGCTAAGAGGCGAAGAGGCGAAGCCCATTCTCACAACCTTCTCTTCTCTTCGGTTTCCAGCTGAAACTACTCCCAAAGGGCTGGTTAGGCATTCCGCACTGCCGGGCTGGCCACGAGATCTTGCAAGCCACTTGCTCGCTTTGACTCAACACTTGGCTTGTATAATGGGAACCCCGGTTGAATTTACCTACGGGGGTATCACCCATAAAAGAGAAGGATTCCCACTACTTCAGCAACCAGGGTTTGATGAATCCGGGGTCACCATTGAAAGGTGTGCTTCGTTTGGTTTCCTCTTCAAAGATGTTGGAAGTTCAACTTGTCCAAGGCTGTAACCAAAGGGGAATCCTGACAGAGGCCAAGCACCCGAATGCCGAAAAGCGCAACCTCAAAGGCATTTCAAAGACATCCCCAACATGCGGCGAAAAATCCCCCTAAGAGCAATCCACCAAGAGCATTCCTTTCCTGGGCTTCTTGAAAAGAAAGGCAAACACATAGCCACATGGCACGAGCATCCCCAGCCCAATGTTCCCGGAAGCCCACTTGGAAGGCCCCCAAACCTTATGGCCAAGTCCCCGAGAAACAACGCCCCTAAACAACGCCCCGAGAACCCGAAAGGTGGGTCCCCAAAAGGAGCTTCATCTACAAATGGCGTTGTGGGGTCCATGTCAATCTGCGGGGAGTAAACCTACAAAAAGCTAAATCAAATAAACCTATCAACAAGGTCACTGATCAAAAGCAGGGGCCTACAAAGGGCTCCACTCACTCGACTTTTCATCCCGTTTCGGCTCCATCCGACCCCTGAGCTTGTTGCACCGTAGGCCGTCTCCTGACCCCAGGAAAGCGTCCCCTTTGAGGGGCTTACACCCGCTGACGCAAAAAACATCAAAAAACCAACAACAAAACCTGCCCCCCTTTTCGGTAGAGCAGCGTGGGGAGCTACCCCGGCCATGTTGACAGGGACAACATAACCGTCAGAGCACGCTGGGCCCCATGCCCATAAGCCTTCCCCCCAAGCCCCCAATGCCCATAAGATCCTGTTGGGAACGGGCCAGCTGGCGGGTTGACCATCAACAAGCAGCAAGCAATCCACCACACAAAAAGCGATTGAACGAACTGGGGACGGTGTTTCTCGCACGCGTGGCGCGCACCTTAGCGAGCCAAGGTCAAAGCTGTGGCCTCCTAAAGGTTGGTACACACCCCTTCCGTACATTTAGGCGGTGGGAAATTCAGCCTCCTTCATCCCCGAGCGTTGCGCCACTTAGGGGGGAAGCGCTTTAGACCTGGCCGGGAAATCCCATGTTTCATCCCATTTTTTTAAACGTGGGACATCTGCGCTAGATGTGGGGATTGAGAGCATTTTGGAGCCCAGGCCCATTGCCACCCCGCGACCCGCCCAACATGCCCAACTTTTGTCCGGCCTTCTGGAGCTCTTGGATGGTCATGGGGCACTCGAATGCCTCCAACAGGGCTTCCCTGAATTCCCCGTTGGACATGGAGACCAAAGGTGCAAACCCAGCCACAAGAAAGACAGAAAGGAACCCTGAAACCCTGAACTCTGAAGGTGCGAGGCCTGAGCAGCCTTTGGAAAACTGGGCTCCGTTTCCAGCCAATGGGAGCTTCCGGTCAGCTGGCGGAGTGCACCGCTCTCTTGTTTGATTGGCCGAAGCAAAGTCCAAACTGTTTGACTACCTCACTAAACTGGCCCAAACCCCAAAAGTGACTAAAGTCCATGAACTCAACAACTTGCTGGCTGAGTGGATGGCCCAACAAAGTACAAACTGTATCTTTACCACTAAATTTTATGGTCTTCCCAAAAAAGTTTAAAGTTCATGAACTCAGATCTCCGCGGCATTTCTTTCGCCCTCGTCGCTTTTCTCCTCCGCGTCGCAGGTCACGGAGGAGAAGGCCGCCGCGCGCTGCGCTGCCCGCAGGCCGGCGGCCAGGTCGCCCGTCGCGGCGCTCGCGTCGATGTCCGCCAGCTGCCGCAGCACCGTGTCCGTCAGATCCTCCTCAAGCGGCGGTGGTTTTGGGGCGTAGGGCTGGTTGTCAAAAATAGGGAAACCCCAAAATGGCTGGAACCCTGGTAAATGGAAACAAGGACAAAAACCGTTTTTTTTGTTGGTGGATGAATTTTGAGCCGTAGCCATAGAGTCAGATGGAGCAAGGGAACCAGGTCTGGAGCAAGGGAACCAGCTCTGGTTGCAGTTTTGTCGTTTTAGTGGGGAACCTAACGAACGAAAAGAGAAGGATGAATCAAGGGAACCAGTTCTGGTTGCAGAGTTAGTTCGCCTTTTTAGTGGGGAACAAAAGGCAAACGTGGTGCCACTGAACAACTCGGAGATACAGGCTGCCATTGCGAAAACGGTGCTAGGTTTCGCAGTAAGTCGGCATGTAATGAAGGCGTCTAACTCATACAATACAAATTCACAAGCATCTGCATGGGAAATGGTGGCAAAAAATGTTGTCCGAACTGACAAGCGGGAAGCACCCTGCCCTGCCACCGAAATGTGAGACACAACAACGGGAAATTGTATTGAACGGCACGTCTCTCTTTAGCATAGGGTGCAGCCCGTCATTTGCCTGCTCAAAAGCCATGACAATCCAACTGGAAAAAGGAAGACCCTCTTCTTTGGTGGCTCACTTTTCAGGTAAGATCACATAACGCCAATCCGGATTGAGCATCCCGCCAGGAAATATCAAGGAGAACCCGCTCAATTTCCAGTCAACTTCTGCGATAGTGGGTGTCCTTCCCAAATTCTCATTCATGGTGGAGGTTCCCTAGCACAGGGTTCTCAACCAATGCCCCCAAAAGTATCGCCCTTGATCGCCAAAGAAAACTCGCCTTATAAAAGCCCGACATGTGATGTTTGAAATCAGCAGGGAACATATAGGGACACCTGAATCAGAAGTGGGGACTGTGCTGCCCACACCCCCACAACCCGGTGAAAGAGTGCCGGGACCGCAACAAGCGCTGCTTTTCTGCGCGGCTGCGAGTCGGCCAATCCGCAAACTCTCCGCGACTCTTTCATCACTCTAGAGTGATTTGCCTCAACGCGCGTCAATGACGTCGCGCATTTGCCAAAGTCCCCCCTATCAATCAAATTTCCGAGGTTGTTCCCCTCAAAGCAGAGCTTTCTTGGGACAAGTCTCAATTTGCAGCGTCAGCCTTGGCATTTCACCGAGCATTCGCTGAGCATTCACCGAGCATTCTCCCCATGTTCTGGGTCCGAATGCTGGGACGGATCCGGTGCTCAAGTTTAGGCCGCACGGCACCTGCACGAAACAAGCCATATAGACTTGGGTGTGGGAACTGCTCACTTCTTCTCATACCACGAGGCCTTCATAAGGGGGAAATGTCCTTGTATCACACAGCACTAACCAAAAGAGGCCTAACACGGAGACTTGGCGTCCTCGGATTCGTTGGGTTCCACCCCGCCGTGTTGGGGTAAAAACCGCCCTTTTCCTCACAAACGCCTTGCCCGGCCGGCGAAAAAAACGTCTCTCCTTCGCGTGCGCCAGGTTCTCCGCGAGGCTTGCCATGGCGTCCGCCGTCCTGCCCCGGACTTGCAGCTGCGCACCTCGGACGAGGAGGCTCCAAGGTGCCAGGCAATCATAATCAGAATCAGAAACATCAGAATCATCAGGATGATAATAATAATCATCATCATCATCCGCATCCCCGCATCCCCGCATCATCACCATCATCCCTGCATCATCACCATCATCATCATCATTATCATCATTATCATCATCATCACCATGATGTTCATCATCATCATGATCACAGTCATCGTCATCGTCATCGTCATCATCATCATGATCATCATCATCGTCATCATTTTCATCATCATCATCATCATCATTATCAACATTCTCATCATCATGTTCATCATCCTGTTCATCATCCTCATCATCATCCTCATCCTCGTCATCCTCGTCATCATCATCTTCCGCATCATCATCATCATCATCATCATCATCATCATCCTCATCATCATCCTCGTCTTCGTCATCCTCGTCATCATCGTCATTGTCATCATCATCATCATCATCATCATCATCATCATCCCATGATCCAACAATGCCATGCTGCCATCATACCATCATCAGCAATGAAACCGTAAAGGTTTCTCCATCCATGGCAGTGGCTGGGATGGTGCAACGGGCTGGGACAAGTCGAAAGACGTGCGCCACACAAAAGGGAGCCACGAGCCCGTACCTGGGTAGCCTGTACCTAAGTGTTGAAAAGGCTGTCCGGAAGGAAAACAACCACAATTGGGTCTATGGCTATTGGTGTCCTGTTGGAAAACTTTTGACAATATCCATCCCCTTTTGGTGTCCTTTTGGGAAAAACGAGTTGTTGGCCATATGGCACCCAGGTACTCCAGGACATTGTAGCATTTGCAACCCAGCTCAGAAGGATCCAAAAGGTGTTTGCTGCCAACATGGAACCACATATTGGACAGGTCGAAATGGCAACACCGACCTGTGAACCCTGGGCCTTGATAAATGCTGTCCCCGGACTCTTGAGTCTTCTCACTGTGCCCGCAATTGAAAATGCATGCTGGAGAGGGATATGATTGATCAGGAGGTGCTCTGTTTGAGTTTGTCAAAGCTTTCAATCAGGGTTTTGGTGGGTGCCAACATGTGCCATAAACAGATTGTAATAAGGGTCATTCTGCCAATTGGCGGTGCCTCGACAAGCAGTAAAAGGGCCCGTCCTTCGCTCTTTGTCCGGAAGCAAGCTTCGTGCAGCGCAAGCATGGCCAACTCCTGGTCTCAACGCGTCTGAGCCACCGTTGTTGCCTTATGAGCCTTGAGTCTCCTCGCGAAAGAGGTCATGAAGCAAGTACTGCCGTAAAATGAGCGTATCATATGCGACATCATGATTCCTTAAACAAAGTGTAACAGCTGACCCCATCTTGCTCAAACCTGAAAAGAACAACCAACCAACAACCAAGCAAGCAAAGTAAGCAACCACAAATGAAGAAACAACAACAAACACAAACACAACAACCACACAACCACACAATCAAACAAACAAACAAACAAACAAACAAACAAACAAACAAACAAAACAAACAAAACAAACAAACAAACAAGGAAACAAGGAAACAAACAAACACAAGCAAGCAAGCAAGCAAGAAAGCAAGCAAGAAAGCAAGCAAGCAAGCACACTAATTAACAATCAAACAAGGAAACCAAACAAGCCAAATAATCCAACCAAGCCAAACAAACAAACGCAAGCAAGCAAGCAAGCAAGCAAGCAAGCAAGCAAGCAAGCAAACAAACAAAAGAAGCCAAACAA